ACTGGTCCCAAAAACCCGGCCCAAAAGACTGGTCCTATGACCAATCCTTGTAAGGCTTGGTCCTAGGAGGGCTTGGTCCTAGACCAGACCAAACCTATGGGAGGAGGGACCGGTCCCTTCATCGGGCCCTCCTCTAAGGCCCGAGCCTGGGACCAGTCCCACGCCTAGGCCCAAACCCATTTATTTAATTTCAAAACAGTCCTTTGTAAAATATCCAAAAACCCACTAACAATTTTGAAATTGACAAAAATATTAAGGGTTAAATTGATATTTTACAAAAAAAATTAATACAGCACATGATCGTTGGCTGCCAATGGTCATGTGCTTTTTTTTGGGGGGGAGGGGGCGAAGTCTCTCATTCTCTAAATCTCTCTACTCCAATCCAATTCTTATTCATATTGTCTTTAATTCAATTTATATTTATAATTTATTCATATTATTTATTTATATTATTCAATTTTTGCTATTTTTCAATATCATCTCTTATTCATATTATTATTTAATTTTTTTAATTTTAATTATTTATTATTTTATCATAAATTCATAATAGAAGGGCCAAATGAGTTCTACATTCCATCAATCGAAGAAATTGAAGGGTTCGATCCATTTTCACCATTTCCAGAGTAGGGTTGTCAATCGAGTCTAGCGACTCGCAAGCTGACTCAACTCGACTCGGTTAGAGCTCGACTCAACATTTGTCGAGTCAACTCAACTCAAACTCGAGTGCTAACACGAGTCGAGTTCGAACAAGGGGGGGCTCAATTTGTGGGCTCGCGAGCCTGGGGTGGCTTGCGAAAACATGGTTTTTATTTTAAGTTTTATAAACCTAGTGGGACTGAAAAGTTATACTGCATGGTAAAATATTTTTAAAAAATGACATTTACCTGCCTAATTGCGAAAGACTAAAACTCGATCTAAACCCAAATACACTATAAAGCCCCAAATTGAATTTCCTCCAATTCCCAAATCGATTAAGCCCTAACCCTAACCCTAAACCTAATTTCACAAATAACAAACCCTAAATCCCCAAATCACGACAGCCCTATATCCCGAATCTACCCTGTGCTTATCGACGTTGTCGTAGACGATCACCCTTGCCTTTTTTTGCCGTCACCAAAGAGATTGTAGAGGTGGAGAGGAATTGCGACTTTAGCAATTCACCTCCAAATCGTGAAACACAATCTTCTCTTTCAAATCAAGCACAAAATCAGCCATTTTAAGTCAGTATCTATCCAAACTCACCATTCAATCTTCATATTGTGGATGTTTATGCTCATTTCAGTCCATGTTGTCGTGAGAGAGAGTTTCAATCTTGATAGACCGAAACCCACATTCAATCTTCATATTGTGGATGTTTCTGCTCATTGTAGTAATCTTAAAGGCAAGGCGTAATTGCATAACCTGCATCAAACAATTGGCGGGGCCAAGTAACATCTTAAGGAAAGTGATAATTTATATGTATAGACCTTAGTTTAAGTTCCAATTTCACTTCTCTACACAATTTTCCCCACATATTTCCTAAGGAGATTCTTTATACTTTCCTGAAAAGACGAGGCTCTTGTTGTTCGCTCATCTCTCAGGGGTGGAATAAAAACACTAGGTATTACTATACATAAAACATTAGGATCCCAATTTTATATCTCCAAGCAATTGATTCGACATATTATTTTACTATCATCCTAAATGTTACCACAACAATTGTCACATGAGTTGAGATGCGAAGATGAAATCCCATATACATAACATTATTATTATTAATCTCATTATACCAAATGGTACTTCTCATATATCAAGGTTTTAAAAAAAATATTCTATATTTATTTTCTCTAGATTAAGAACTAGGGCTTTTTTTTTTAACAAACCACCCTTAGATTTTGTCATAATTACAGGCGGCGTTATTATTAACTAATAAGAGTTGTTAGTAGCATTTAATACTTTGCCGCCGTCAGGTCCTCCTTGTTCAAACACAAGTTTTTTACATGGATTTTGGGATGGTTGGTGGTTCAAACTCAATTGGTTTTGTATCTCTTGTAACAAATAACAAGTCTACTCTAGGGTTGGTCGTATTTTAGAATAAGTTTAACCATGTGAAAAGCTAGACCTGGGCATTTGGGACTGGTCCCAAAAGCCCAGCCCAAAGGACTGGTCCTAGGATCAGTCCTTGTAAGGACCAGTCCTAAAAGGGCTTGGTCCCAAACCGGACCAAGCCTATAGGAGGAGGGACTAGTCCCTTGATTGGGCCCTCCTCCAAGGTCGAGGCCTAGGACCGGTCCAGGCTTGGGCCCAAACTCTTTTGCTTAATTTCAAAAAAGTTTTCTATAAAATATCCAAAAAACCTCTAAAAATTTGAAATAGACAAAATATTAAGGGTTAAATTGATATTTTACGAAATTAAAAAAAAAAAATAATACAGCACATGACCGTTGGTAGCCAAAGGTCTTTTTTTTTTTTTTCATTTTCCCCCCAATCCTACACTATAAATAATCCCCCACACTTCCAATTTTTTTCACACCAACTGTCTATCTCTCTACTCCAATCCAATTCTCATTCCTATTTTCTTCAATTCAATTTATATTTATATTTATAATTTATTCATATAATTTATTTATTTATATTTTTCTATTTTTCAATATCATCTCTTATTCATATTATTATTTAATTTTTTTCATTTTAATTACTTATTATTTTATCATAAATTTATAATGGAATGGTCAAATGAGATCTACGTTTCATCAACCTAAGAAATGGAAGGGTTTGATCAATTTTCACTCTTTTCAGAGGCAGCAACTACAATTCAACGACAACAACCACATTCAGCCAGGACGTGGTGTAACCAAACACAAGCGAGCTACGACTCCACGACCCAACCCCCCCAACCGTCAAAGAGGGTCGTGTCCGATGTATGGCGACATTTCACCAAATCAAAATGGGCAAAAGCGAATGGGGAGGGGGAAGAATCGTGTGGGGTATGTAATTTATATGGAACTGTTATCGGCGTTGAGAATGGGACTCCGACAATACAACAACACTTGGAGAAGAAGCACCCCAAAATAATGCATATGTCTGGTTCATCTTCAACCGGACCAGGTAGGCAAATTCAAACTCAATTTAATTTTAATCCATAATCCTCGACTCTGTCAACATGGCAATACAATGCACTCCAAGCACAAGAGGAAATAGTAAAATACATAGTTACTACGGACTCTGCCCTTTCTTTATCTAAAAATCCTTTTTTTATTCACTTGATTAAAACTGCATTTTGTCTAACATATACCCCTGTTAGTAGAAGTACAAGTTGAAGAGACATATTAAAACTTTATAACCAAATAAATATTTAACTTAAAAACAAATTTCAAAATTTTAGAATATATCTATTGCACTTACTTCAAACATATGGGCTTGTAGATCAAAAACATATTTTTTAACTGTCACAATACATTACTTAGATCATGGTTGGGGTTTACAACAAAAATTGATAGGTTTTAGACCATTATATACTGCACATAATGCTGACACTATTTATTTTACAATACTTGAAGTTTTCTAAATTTAGATATAATGACATCTTAATGGAAATTGTTTCAAAGATGGAAAAAATACGAGAAATATTGGTTAGATATTCCATTCTTATATGGATTAGGCCTTGTTGTAGATCTTAGGTTTAAATTACATGTAGTTAATTGTATAATTACTGAGATAGCCCAGCATTTAGAACATGATTATACGTATTATTTGATTAACTTCAAGCAAAAATTGGAAAGCTTTTTTCTTTTATATCAGAGCAGGTATAATGGAACTAGAACGTCCAGTAGAGACGACCAACAGGACCCTAATGAAGACAACTATCAAGAATCGAGCATGTGGACGTATATGGAACATAGCAGCAAAAGTAGCAGCCCCAACTCGTACATACATGGACCAAATGAGCTGAATCGTTACCTACAAATGGACATGTCCTACATGATGAAGAAGGAGAAATGTGAGATGGATGTGCTTCAATGGTGGAAATAACATCAAAGTCGATTCCCCATTGTAGCCCAAATGGCACGTGACATTTTATCTGTGCTGGTTTCTATAATTGCATCCGAGTCAACATTCTCAACGAGTGGCCGGATTGTTGAATACAAAAGATGTTTTTAACCAATGAGATGATTGAAGTGATAATGTATTTACGGGATTGGACTCATGCAGAGAGAAGACTACAGCAGCACCCTGAAGATCCCGAACTACTCGAACTCTTCAAGAACACATATTTGAACGATGTAAATATTGTTGACAATGAATAATTTAATAAAAACAAATTTATTTAATTGTTTATTTGTGAAGTGTAATTGTGTGAATATTACATTTATGTTAAAATTAATTAATTAAATTATCTCTTTAAATTTTAAATTTAAATCCCCATATTTATAAATAATTATTAATTATAATTAACCATTAATTTATTTATTATATTATTATTTTTTAAAATTAATTGAAAATTTACTAATCTCTTGGGGGTGGAAACCCCTAAAATTTCTCATGGGCCTAAGACTAGTCCCAAGCCCATGAGTGACTGGTCCCAATCGGGCCCAATTGGGACTGATCCCTACCCAAGTCTATAAAAGCTATGGAGCCGGGGTTGTTTGGACTGTATTTTTGGTTGGTTGCTCTAAATTTGTTTTGTGGATGGCTAGACTAAAGTACCAAAAATGTATCACACAACTTTTCAACATTTTATCCAACTCATATAATTTTCATATATTATACCAAACACATTCTTATAATCCTATCTTATTTGATTTAATCCAACTCAACTCAATTTAAAATAGTTTTTTTGGAATAACATATTTCAAATAATCTACCAAACAAACCCTACACTTATGATGATCGAAAACCGTGAATATTGTCAACAGGAAGTTTTAACGAGGTATACAGTCAGCTCTTTGTTGCTTCCTTCCATACAAAGCTATGCATAGATTTCTACAGGCAACCTTCAATTACAACGAAAAAAAGGCATATAAACAAACGAACGAAATGAAATTATTAATCACAACCAATTCGGCTCGATATGTACAATGAAGACAACTCAAGAATAGTCTAACAATGCAAATTTCACATGCAAACCAATTTTACCACCATCAGTCACAAGCTTGGCAGCCGTCACCAACCAATGTCCTGGAGAATCATGGGGACCGCGCACAACTTCGGTAGTCTCCACATATTTAAGTACCTTTCCAGAGCAAGCCCGAGTTGGCGGACCATCCGGAAAGACACCAGAGTTAAGTACAGCTGGAGCTTGCTTTTGAGGACCTGTGATGCTCCGTTGGGTAAACGTGAATGTTGTACTCAGATTCGTAAGGAAACTAGATTTCTGAGAATTTCTTGGGGCAGCAGCCCACTCTGTCTTTCGGATCATGCAATTGGGTAAGTAGGTGAAGAGAAGACGAAGATGCAGCACTGTCTTCGGCCACTTTCCCTTGCTCAAGAGCTGTGCACCGGTTACAATGAAAACACCGGAGGACTCCCCATGCAACCAACTGGGATCATGTTTAACAACTGATGTGCATACATTGGAGTATCTCTTCCATTTGACTGGTTCTAAAAATTGGTCACTAAACCTGTAGTCATCAGAACCACGCCATTGAAATGGCCTGGGGTCGTTAGCTGATGATAAGGTCATAATATTCGGAAGGCTTGAGAGATGCTGTGCATGCAATGCCAGCCGGTCACATTTCTTTCCTTCCAAGTATAATCGTAGGCCTACAACTGGTTTTTGATCACTTGACACCTGAAATGGCATGGGAAAGAGAATTTAGAGTACAAAATCAATAACTGCAGTTCTATAATTCATTAAACCTTTGAGATGAACCACTAGTTGAGTAACAATGTCAACTAAGATTGATGAACTCTGATAAAACCAAGCTACACTTGTCACTAGTGACATTTAAAAACAATTTCAATTCAACATGCCAAAACAAAACATAGATATAGTGGCTCTCTATGCATATGCACCATATATATCCTAATATGTTTGCATACATACTAAAAATATCTTTCTAAAACGTAATTCAAAGCATGTTTATCAATTTTACAAGGCTAGAACTATATCGAACCAGAAAGTTCTTGAGATGTAAACAATAGGATTGTCCAAGTGCTTTTAAGTGTCAGACTTGTAATATGGGGTCCTTTGCTTCAAATGTGAAACTGTCAGTGGGAAGATAAGGAAATAAGCTCAGGCTAAGGGGCTATAAGTTAACGAGATAACATGGGAGAAGGGCTGGAAGGGATATCATTTGTACATAGAAAATATGTCATGAATGTAAAGATTAGACTCCAATCCAACCATCGCATAAACTAATTACATGGCACTCCTTCTGATCCATGGGATTGTGCCTTACTTACACTGCTGTAGTTATCAAAATGTGGATCTCACCATCAAAAATTTACATTTTATGTTCAATCAAATGGGATGGTATTTACCAAGTTTTACTAGAGAGCTTATTAGGAATATTGCAATAAGTTACATGAACCTCATCAAGTTTGATAGAGAGAACAAAATTTAACACCAGAAATAGACTGGATAGGAAACAGTGCGCCACCCCCACCACCCGTATCCCAATAAATGTCTTAAAACATTTGAAAAAGTATTAGTAACAGTTAGTTCCTGTAAATGCTTGGATTATTAGTATTATTTTATCTATATCATACATATCATATTAACCTAATCCATATTAATCCTAATGCAAAATGCTTCTCCGTTTAAACTTTTACATATTAACCAAAGGAGACAATATTAATGCAATGCCCAGCCAAACTCAAGGGACCAAAAAGTGCAGCCTACCCCTTTATGGAGCTTTAGGATGTGAGGCCTTTTATCCAGACATGGAAAGGAGACCACTATTGATATTTTACATTCAGTCTTAACAGTTTTCAAGTTTATTTCAGACATAGGGTCCTGTGGGATAGGTAACATTTAATCTTAAGTTTTAGTTCAGATACACTACTGATTTAGTAATTGTCAATATTGGTATAAAATACAATTTTGACAGAGGTACTATAGAAAATGCAAGCTTATTTCATATGTAAACTCTTAAACTCAGCATTATTAAGATTGTCATTGAACTTCAAACACTTTTAGCTTTAAGAATATCTAATTCCCAAACAAGAAAATGAAGACTTCATTATCCTGAACAGAAATCTGTAGTTATGCAAAACTGAGCTAACAACTGAATATTATAACTTTGTTCAATATCTAGTACCTGTGTAGAGATGACATGGATCTTAGGACCCATGAAACTAAATTGCAAAGAAGGACAAGAATCTTTTTTTCTTTGATGGCGAAGAGGCAGCTCACAGAACATAGGTGCCCATTGCCTTGGAACTTGAAACTCCAAGAAGTACTGTAAATCCTCTGGAGCAGGCTTGTCTAGGAAGAGAAAAAGTTAATGAAAAAATTAACACTGTTAGAATATGTAAAACTCAGGAAAAAAAATAACAAATAAATGCAGCAATGACCTAGGAAAGAAAGACTATATCATAATAAGGGAAACAGACAAATATGTCTACTTTCTGTTTTTCCAGTACATAGATTTTGAGTTACCTTAAATGTTATCTTTAAAAGATAAAGAAATAGAACCAGTGCAGATGCAATTTTTTACTTCTCGTATTGAAACCCTAAAAACATATTACAATCTTGTCCTTAATCTTCCTGTGTATCTATGGGTGTGTTTGTTTGTGTATTCATGTGGGGGTCTGCACTCACAGAAACTAGTTAACATACAATTATAAACCATCTAAACTGTGCTACTTCAAAAATGGCAGAGGCTGAGCAATGGACCAGGGTCAGTAAATGTATGATTAATTCCCAATTTGTCAAATGGCATTGAAATACTTACAACGCAAATACAAGTTAATTGCATGACTAAGATAGCCGCTGCCGGGAATCCCAGTAAGAAGAGAAGTAATAGGCACAAACTTGAAGAGAATCCCTTCTGGTTTAGAAGGAACTGTTTGGAGCCAACTGGAGTGGCTGTGCAAGAACACATCTCCTCCTCTTTTAGAACAAATGATAGTGAGTCCCTGGTCCAAATAAAAGATAAGAGGAGAATAATAAAGATCCACAGCCTCTAACATGATTAATAGCAAATAGATGTGCTCTCAAACAGTTCTTGACTTACATCTTTGCTTGATGTCTCTGTAATACTGGTCAACTGCATGGTGTTTGACTTCAGAATACGATTAAAAACCTCGGGAACCTATACAAATACTAGACTTTATCAAATCATATACATGGATCAAAAATGAAATTAAATTATAAATGCAGCACAAATACCTTTTGCTTGCCATCTCTTGTTTTCCCTTGTAGTAGAGAGGGGCTTTTTCCGTCTGAAAATAGATAATCGCCAAGGTCCTCTAAGTGTCTTCTGAGGTCTGCAGGCAGAATAGGTGAAGAAGGTTTCTGTCTAACACAAATTAAATCCAGGCCTCCAACAGCCATCCCTACTATTATGTGCGTCCCATATGTCTGGATAAACCTGCCTAATAATATTGATTAGCATCAAAATACATAAAAAGCCATGGTAATATAAGATCAAGGACAGTCAATCGAAAATTCAATATAATAGATGAAGAACTAGGACATGCAACACACACACACACTCATGCGTTCATTGTGTGTGTGTGTATATATATATATATATATATATATATATATATATGAAGTGAAGCAAAAAGAATTCCAAAGAAAGTGCTATTAATAGGTTTCCTATCCAAAATGTTGTAGCACATGGCTATGACAACAAAAATCACTTCCTCAATTTTATCTTAATGGATGATTAAAATTTGGTAACAAAATTCAATTTATAATTCTCAAACATCAATATTCACTATTCCTCGAGACCTAGTTAAAAAAAACATTTCATATAGTATATAATTAATCAAAAATTTCTTGAATCACATATTAAATAGCTGCTTTAGGAGCTATATCTAGGTCTTGTAATGGTATATTTAAAGGCAGTTTTCCTATGAAGTTAAGCTCAACTCCTTTTTATTCTGAACTCATGGCAATCATTAAAGTGGTCAGCATTATTATGAATATGAAAGCTCAATTTTTGTAAACCATTTAATAGAAAATGGATGTTCCTTTAAGAGTATATGAAAGGTCTTCAACGTAAGACCTGTGACTCTTATCTTCTACTGCCACCTACTTGACATTATCAATCACTATACTGACAAAGTTCTTTGCCATCTCAAAACCTTCTATTACCTGCTATGGAATTTTCAAACGTATAAAATTCACCTTGTACTATCATTAGAACTTTGCAGATTCAAGTAGATAAGAGCAATCTTCACTTAATATGACACGAATTCAATAAGTATGAATATGAACCTTGCATAGAATATAAGACAAGGAAAAAAAGATGCTGCTACAACAGGATATGCATAAATCTTTTCAATTGAGGTGAAACATCCATGTGGAGAAAGACCTTTTCTTCCAGGAATATAAGAATAATCTTGAACAAAGCCCTACCCTTGTCAATATATTAACCATTCAGAATTGATGCTCCTACTTGGAACTTCTGAATTAGGATATGATCCATATAACAAGGTTAGAATCATAAACTAGGGATATGGAGATTTCATTTACAGATCTCAAAAAATTTGAAAGCTGCAGAATTAGGGAATAGTTTACAGATTTTCGAGTTTCAGATGTGTACTAACAATATAAGATATTTATACCCCTGGATATGTAGAAGTATTAAACAAAAGTATCTAAAGTTCATAATTTTTTTTCTTTTAATTTTTTTTCCTATTTTTAATAAATCAAGAAGAGTATTGGATACTTCTTGAAACCTTATAATGTGTATCACACACTTGCTAAACTTCAGCTACAGCAACTTTTAGCATTTGTTAGGAATGCAATTGTAAGATAAACTTATGAAAGGGTGTATGATGTATCTTTTGATATGCAATTCAGAATGTATTTGTAACTAAACAATGATAGGCTGCATCATATAATCTTTAACAGCAAAATATTTAACATAAATGTATAAAACAAATCATTACTTGGTTGTCCATAATACATTTTCAAGAATTGACATATTGGAGTGCATATTTGAATCTTAACCATATTCATATCCATTTCACTTTTATAGACTACAAGCTTGATCTGGAATCATTAAAACACAGTCAAATATTNGTATACTTCATTAACAACTACGACATGGTCATATGTGCTGCCCACAGTTCAGTCGTTATGTTATCCCGTATAGTCGTCATGTTGTCTATAATACTTTGCTGCGGTTTACTCGGTCCTTCTCCATTTCTGCCATCTTTTGCCCCGTTTTAGTGATCACAATATACTTGCTCATTACTTGTATTTTCAGTATACAGTTAAAAGATAGGGTCTTCCATATTATACATTCTAATAAAATTATGAAGTACACAACATGCCATAACAATCTTCCCTTGTTTGTCCAACGGGTAATTGTTCATTCCATTCAGAATACAGAACCATCTGTTTAAAACACCAAAGGTTCTCTCGACAACATTGCGGATTGAAGCATGTCTATTTGGATAACCCGCATCAACCAAATAGTATTTCTCTGTAATAAAAGTGCTCATGTTATTTGAATTCCAGGGCCTCAACAGTGGAGCAAATACGTTATAATATGTCAAGAAAATACTTATACCTGGTGGAGGATGTGGGAATCCAGAATTAAGATCATCAAGAATTGAATTTAAAACTCTTGAATCATGCGCAAATCCTTCACATCCAGTAACGGCATAAGTGAACATCATTCTAAAGTCACATACAACCATTACATTCTGTGACAACGTTCCTTTGCGATTCCGGTACCTATCACCAAATTCATGTGGAATCGAAGCGTATACATGTGTGCCATCAATGGCTCCAATACAATCCTATCATCAAAATTGAATTTTAATCATATTAACCGACTATCAACATTAATAACACAATGAACTTAACTATCCACTAATAGAAAACATAATGAAGAAGTACCTTAAAGAAAAGGTAATATTTTCGGTTGGTTGATATTTCTCATGGAACATCACTGAAGTTAGGTGGCCTAATAAACTTTATCTTCAACTCACATGTCGCCTCGCAAACTTGGCCAACATATCTAGAGACCGTGTCACCCGAATGTTGGAAATCCTCCATCATCGTTCTGATTGTCTCATTTTTACCAACGATTGTTAGAAATATCATAACTTGTTCTTCTAAACACGTCCTCCTAGTTGGTCACAATTTCCCTTACTGTGCCAAAATGTAACATAAGTATGTAAAACAGTCTTTATCCATGCGGCACTTGTCAAAGATCCTGTCATCATGACCATTGAGTACTCCCAACATATACTCATGACCAATTAATATGGATGTATGTCGTAGTTGAAGCCCAGTTGTTTCTAACGTGGCATGCACACCACAAAGTGCAATGGTTATATCTGTCAGTATTCTTCTTCCTCATCTTTAGAACGTCGTCTTCTTCCTATACGGCTAGATGATGTCATTTAAACCTGCACATTTGCAAAACATTGATCAACAATTAACAGTTGTTGTACTACTTAGCAAAATATAACAGTCAATATTTAATTCTAATGACAATCCAAAACTCATATGAAACATGCAATCTCACATAAAACAATAGCACAATGAATAAGTTCAATCAGGTAGCAAACATTTGGGGACATTTTCAAATCAAAGTGCTTAACAGAAGTTTGGTTTAGCCATAAAAGGACAAGTACCCACTGGCGCATACAAAAGTGTTGGCAAACACTTAGGATATACAGTGTCATCTACAAATTGCGAAAGTCGTTATAAATCCAATTAGCATTTTCTTCGGGCGGGAGTTTCATGAAAACCTCCCGCCACCCTAGATTTTGATATAAGTACTTGACAATCAGCATGTAAAACTCTGTGGGCACTTGCATGGCTGTCAAGATGTCAATACAATTGCTCATGGAAAACAGATCAGATGGAGCACTAGTGTTCTCTTTATCCCCCTCATCTCCATTGCAATTGCTAGCCCTCGATCCCATACTCCGCCTCTCCACAAGCATGTCCGTCAATCTGCCAATGACATCCACAAGTGCCTGTCCTGGGCCACTTCTGTTCCTCCTATTTCTCGATCTTGCATGACCAGATGTGTTTGCCCGTTTTTTCCCCGTCGTCCGATCTAGATCAGGTTCAAAGTCACTATCATCAATGTCAACCATGCCCTGATTGGAAGAAGTGAAAGTATCCACCGGTTGAGCTGTAGATGTGTACGCATATCTCCCAATGGCAGTTTGCTTCTCAAATATGATTTCATAAAGCTCCTTGTGAGGAAGTCCCTTGTGGTAGAATTGTTGCGCCTGTGGGTTTTGCTGGTAATGCAAAATAATATTATATTAATATTTGGCAGTCTCAAAAAAAAAATTGCCTCCAAATACGATGTCATTGATTAATATTAGTTAAAAAAGTTAAAAATTTACCTTGATATATTCTTGCCAAACCTGTACGGGACACATTGGACTTTGCGACTCATGATCCCACCCAAAGCCCGTGTGTTGCAGCAATTTTTGCCATGCTTGATATACTTTTCACGGGCGAAAGTACTTAGAGGTTATTTGTGTCATGTTGAGTCTCCTCCCAGCCAATGATGATAAGTCATCCAACATTTCCTTGTAATCTACTATTTTTATTGAAGTACCATGCGAAGTTTTTGCCCGCTCAGACAACAGGATCAGAAATTTGTGGGTCATCTCAGCGGACCAGTTCACAGTATCACTCATCTAAAGACAGTACAGTGAGAACGACAACCAAGATTAGGACACCATACCAATCACCAAACACATTACAAACACACATACGCACATTTAAATGTAATAAAGTAAACACGGATAAACCTTTACCTCGTTCGATCCGACACTGCTTGAAGTCGTCAATGCAGGGGAAAATATAGGCAATGTTGACCAACAGGGTGTATGACAAACTCCAAGTCTGGAAAAACGTTGAAACTTTTGCCTCTGCTGCAAGCAGTAATCAATCCTGCGACGTCGGGACATTATATTGACATCTGTGCATATGATCGTAATTAGTTCTTATGATCAAATAACGATGCCGAATCTACAAAACAAATATATCATTTAGTGAAATCCCAAAAAAATATTTCCAATAATCCAACAATTTTTTACTCCCAAAATTCATCCATTACCGAGATGTTCTTTTTAAAATTTGTCCGTTTCACGAGTTACATATTTCCCTGTAAAGATTTAAATGTTAAATATAATACCGTTACAGATTGAAATGTTAAATATAATACCGTCAAATAAATAAATTTTTTTGAATTTTTTTTAACTTTATATATTTACATGTATATTATATATTGACTTGTATATTAATGCAAATAGGAATTAGAAAATGCCATTACATTTGCCGAAACCTTGGGTGGTTCATAGACGATCGTGGGAGTGGGCGAGCGTTGCAAGACAACGATAGGTGTGGCAGATCGGCGACGATCGTCTTTGGTTCGTGGCATATCGGCGATGATGGGGCCT